TTTTTTTTTTTTTTTTTTTTTTTTTTGCCTTTTGCCGTATTCTTTGTGATGATATGAATCATTCAAATAATGCTACTGCTTTAACATGAGATGACGTTTTTTGTGTTCGGAGGATTCTTCAAATTTCGTTAATGATCCTTCCGCAGACTCACTTACGGATCTAGCATTTTTGAGCTAAACCTAATAAACTTGGACTTAGTTTTTTCGCCTTTGGCCGTATTTCTGCATTTCCCGACTGATTTTGGTTTTGTCTTCGCCAAAGTGCCGCAGGTCACTTTTGCACCCCTAACTCAATTATTTCTTTTTTCAGAGTTTACCTACGAAAAAATCTTGAGCATTTTCCCCAGCGTATATTACTGCTGAGTCTTACAGGTTTGAGAAAATAGATGCACAGATGACGATAGATAGGTGTACCGGCAATTTGAAAATATAGTCGTATGGATCCGTTGGTTCATCCCTTAATAACGGCGCGTGTATTGCTGTTGTATCGATACCCTGAATATCACCTTCGAAGAGATCGGAATTAAGGATTGCATTCAGTTGTTCATCGCTGATTCTTTCTACTGTAAATTTAATAATTGAGAAACCAAACAGCGGGAAATGAGAAGCAAGAAAAGAATGCAAAAGATAGGTTGGAAAGACGAGAAATAAGGGCCTTATGCGGTCATTTCGTCCTCACGACAGCTTGGAATAAATGCATTCAGCTTTTGTGCGTTTTTACATCTTATGCAAGTGCAATCCGGACTGGAATACACTAGGTTTGCGAATGCGACCATGCTTTTCTGCACCGGACTTAAAATACTCAAGTTGTTAACTGCACGAATGGTTGTTACCTCACACCTATCTCATGCGCTCACTGGCGTAAATCATCATAAATTTTGCGCAAAGGAAATCAACAAGTCCCGTGGTCGTTCTCTGAAAATGACCTAGCTGGTCAGTAAGCAATTCTCCCACCAAAACTTTAAGTGCTCACACGTGTAACCATGCATACCTGAAGGTCGAGTTTGAAATATGTATACTGTACTTAGATGGGGAACATTCCTCTAAAATTTCAGCTTTCCAGCTTTTCTGGTCCTCGAGTTACTAATTTCCTCTCTATCCACTCTGGTTCTCGAGACCACTTTCCCTCCAGAAAATTTGCATATTTTTTTAAGGCGTCTGTATGCGGCACCCCAGCGTACGCGGGTGATGGTTTTAAAACTGGAGAGTCGCACAGGTAGTGGGCACATACTCTCGAAATTTCAGCTTTCTAGCACTTCTGGTTTTCGAGTTCTTATCAATATGCGTTTCTGCATTTGCATATATGCAACAAAGGCTGGAACGCATCAGGCGAGCCGGTGCGATCATGCGTTTTTGCATCAAAACTAAAGTA